CTCTCCAATGAATTAGAAGGGAAGTTGTCAGACTTGATCTGATCAATACAGCCTGTATAACAGTTGCTACAAGGAACAAAGTAAATAGAGAAAAACAACAGATTGAGGAAAAATTTTGGAAAGTGGGCCACATTTGAATACAAAAGAAGGAACAAGGAAACATTTTTTCAATGCATTAGGGAAAAACTCCTACAAAGCAGTGTTTGAGAAGTCAGGGAGGAAGAAATTTTGGAGGATAGTTTGATGAAGGTCAAAAATCTTATGTAAAGTGAGACTGATAGCTATTGTCTTTGATTAGAATGAGGTAGGATTTAAGAGTGATTAATTGAGGCTACATTTAATCTTAATAATTATGGGAAAGAGACTTCACTTTGGATGGTGAACGCAAGAAAATATACAGATGATGTATTATAGAACTGTACACTTGAAACTCTTGTTAACCAATGTCATCCCAATAGATTCAATGAAAATTTTTAAAAATATTGAACGAGGAATTGAAAGACCTAGGTCTGACTTGTGTATTATTCCAAAGTGACTGCAGGCTTCTGGGCAAGCCAATTTTTCTTTGAACGTCAGCTTTTTTCACTATAAGGTAGGAATAAAAATAATCTGTTATGAAACTTGCTGAAGATAGTTATGACATGTGCATGGTAGATCCATAAATTTTGTACAAATTCAATGACTAAAGTTGTTGGAGTCAGAAAAGAAGGAAACGGGTAGTTACACGGCAGGCATACCGTAAATTCTGAGGCAGGGGGAAGGGGAAAACAGGATCCTGTTCAAAGCACTGCAGACATGAAAGGGGGGAGGGGATGGAAGGCTGAAGCCACCAGAGACAAGAAAGCCCTGCACCCACTCTTAATTATTGGCATATTGAACTTATAAATCTTACTTTTCTACCGGCTTCAACACTCAGTTTATCACTGCATTCAGTTCCCCCTTATTCTGAAACAATTTTCTAGAACTCTACCTTATTCTTGATTTACTATTTTTCTCTGCCATTTCACCCACAAAAAAGCTCTTTTCTTGGTCGTTTCAGGGAATTTTCACTCAAAATGTTAACTACAGAGCGGGCGAGCTTGGCAATATTTGTTTCTGACATCCTCACCTGGCTGCTCATACCGGTTTACTACTTAAAAGGATCATCAGTTTGCGGAATTTAACCACATCAGCCAGTGTGTGCAGGTGACTTGCAAACTGTGAAGAGAGCTACTAAAGTATCATTCAGCACTTGAAGAACTGAGCTCTCCGTGGTAGGCAGACTTCCCCAGTAGCAGAGCCAATTAAATCCTGACTCACGCAGCACAATCTAGTTTCCCCAAGACAGAAGTCTAACTAAACGCAAACCATAGCCCAGGTGGGTTTTCTGAACCAAATATTGCGCCACCGGGGGGGGGGGGGGGGGGGGGCGGGGGGCGGGGGCGGGGACTGGGCGGGGAGCACGAAGTATCGCGAGATGATCTTGTTTTCCCGCGAAAGAGAAGCGCGCTTTTTTTCTTTGGCTGGGACTTGCCCAGAAGGGTGGCACCGGCAGCAGCTGTGAGGGTGTAGCGCGCTGGCGTTGCACGTTCTGAGAAGAGGCTACCTTGTACCGGCGTGTATATCCAGCCATGCCCGCCCAACGGCCCAAGAGCAGCGACGGTGAGTGAGGAGAACCTTTTCCTGGGCATGGGCGGCGGCGACCTGGGCAGACGGGGCCGCAGCATGGAAGCGGCAGCCGAACTGTGAGGGAAAACCTGACCCCGGGCATAGAGTGAGGAGAAAGAGGAGTTAGAAGCTGTGGAGAGTGAGTAGGGCGAGCATGATATAGGAGGTTTTACATGGGAGAGCTGCACTTCCCCAAGCTCTCCAATTTGTAAACTGGGGTTTAGGCAACTTGTTGACATTGTGAAAACGTGAGGTGTCTCTTCCGAGGTGATGCAGGCGGCTCCGTGGGTGTTAAGCTCTTGCCTCGAATGCATCTGGGAAGGAGAGAAAGGTTTTTATGTGGGAGTTGAGTATAAAAAAATTGGTATATTTTTTTAAAACTGCAATTTGGAAGCCTTCTCCCGCCCTAGGGCCCCTGGCTCCGGAGAGGGTCGAACAGCCGGAGCCTGCCGTGATTACCCCAGCCATGCTGGAGGAGGAGGAACAGCTTGAGGCTGCTGGGCTTGAGCGAGAGCGGAAGATGCTAGAAAAGGTAACTGGGGATCAAGTTCCTCGTCCTGAAAGCCGGTGGTGTAACCTGATGCCTCTTCCTCTGGGGTGTGGTGTGTGTTCCTCAGTTTACGAGTCCGGGTTTTTTTTCATAAACTTAAAAACGGGCTTGGGTATTCATTCTGTGTATGTTTACAGATGCTCTCTTTGAGAAAGTTTTGCACGTGCTTTGCCTGATGCTTCTGAGAGGGAGCTTTGGCCAGTAAAGGGGCCTCGTCTCTCTTTTTAAGTGAGCCTTTGCAGTTGCTTGGTTAGCCATTATTAAGTTCTTCCAAAGTTGATAGTTCTTTTAGCGCTGTTTTCCACCTCAGCGATCAGCTTGCTTTTCTGTTTTCTTGGGTTGCTGCTAAGTAAGATTCTTGAGGTTAAACTGGTGTACCTTTTTCCATAAGTTGCTGTACTTGTGGCTTATATGCACACAGCCCCTATTCTGGAGGATACTAAAAGAAGTTTATAACCTTTCGAAAATTCAATTCTGAAATACATTTCACTTCCATAATCAAGTCCTGCCTTGCTGCTTAATTACTGCATATGCAAGAAAAGGAATGCCATCTAGCCATCGGCTCTTTACCTACTGCCTAATAAGTGATTTTCTTGTAATAATTCACTTTGCCCTCCTAATATTGACAATATAGGTCTTTTTGATATCTCTATTTACAACAAAAACTCAGGTAGTTGGGGGTCACACACTGATGAACTCTTGGAACTGTGCCTGTCTCCAGAGTTCTTTTCCTTAGCCCTAGACCCCTCTAAGGAAATACACATTAGCATTGAATTAATTCCCTGTAATTGCAAAACTGCTTATATTGGGAAAGAATGCACTCCAAAGATAAGTAATGAATCAGCTGGTTCCCTGTAATTTTATGTCAGCAATAGACTTCTTTTGTTAGTATTGTTAACACCTCATTGAATCTTCAGCTATTATAAAGTAGGCATTGTTATTAAACAAGGTTACTATTCACCATACTAGTTTATTTTATATTTTTTAAGCTTTAGTTGTCTCCCAGATTCCCTTATTTTTTTTTGATTTATTATTATTTTTAAAGACTTTATTTATTATTAGACTGGGGAAGAGAGGGAGAAAGAGAGGCAAAGAAACATTGGTGTGTGGTTGCTTCTTGTGTGCCCCACACGGGGGACCTGGCCCGCAACCCAGGCAACCCAGACTGGGAATTGAACTGGCGCCCCTTTGGTTTATAGGCGGGCATGCAATACACTGAGCCACACCAGCCAGGGCAATTAACCTTACTAGTTTAATTACTAGTATAAAGTAGGTTCTCTTTTCACCTCAGTTTACAGATGAGGAAACTCATCTTAAACTTACATGGCAGCACTAACATGGGGGCTGGGTCTCCACAGCTAGTAAATGGCAGAGCCAAAATTATAATGTAGGCCATGAGGTTCCAGAAATCATCATAGTTTTAAACCATCATGATATACTTTCACGCCAGTAATGCACATTCTTCCATTACTGATGGTCATTGTTGGCCATAATCACTTAAGGTATGTTAACATTTTATCTTTTTTTTTTTTTTTAACTCCTCACCTGAAGATGTAGTCACCAATTTGAGAGAGACATCTGTAGCAGAGAAATACGGATCAGTTACCTCTTGCATGTGCCCTGACTGGGGATCAAACACCTTTTGGTTTGGGGATGACGCTGACACCCAACCCAAGGTGTTAACAAATTTTAATAGAATTGTGAGGTTGACCTTGAATCACCTTTCTCAATCTCTGAATTTCCAGAGTACTTTATTATACAGTATTAGCATTGCTTTTTTGACCTTCTCACTTTGTTTCTTCAGGGCACACCACTTAACTGTTTTGTTTTGGTAGGCTCTGCACCTAGTAATCAATAAATATTTATTGAATTTCTAAGTATGGTAAAAAGATATTTTGTAATTTATTACGTAACGTATATAAGATTACAAAAAAAAATCTACTTACTGGGTGAGTTTTAAAGGCGGAATCCTGGGGCAAGTGTCTGGAATAGTGTCAACCTCAGAGGTTGTAAGAATGATAAAAACCTTCATTTTTTGTTCAGTGCATCATTAGTTTTATAACCATGAATGTTTTTGGGTAAGGAAATACCATTTGAAAAAAGATGTGAAGGACAATAAAAATACATTCCCAAAAAGCATTAGTACGAGGGAAGAAATATTTTCACCATGGAAAAAGATCTGTCAAAATGTATAATATTTAAGGATCAAAAGGACCTATTTTCAGTGAAATTTTAAGCTTTTGAACACATGTTTTCCAATTAGTCCTAAAATTTTTTGGAATTGTTATTGTTGAGTGATAGATATAGTATAGCCAGCTTAGTTTTTCTTTTTTCTTTTTTAACAGTTATACAATTAAAATAGCAATTTTCAGTCCACTTCTAGTCCTTCCATGAATAAAGCATATGGCCTGTTTTAATCCTAACACGTGGGTGTAATTTGCTAAAAACCTTGTTCTTAAAAACCGTGGTCTTTTGTTAGTAGATTGTCTTTCTGCGTAAGTATTGAAAGAATTTGATTAAAAATTTTTTTTAATTATTCAGATGAATTTGTCTCCATTTTCCTGCCACCACTTTCCCTTGCCCCACCCACCCCTGCTTCCCACCCTCGATCTGTCCCCACTTTGGTTTTTTGTCCATGGGTCCTTTATACGTGTTCCTTGACATGACCCCTCCCTTTCGTTTTCCTGTTAAACCCCACCTCCTCCCCTCTTGTTACTGTTGGTTTTTTTTTTTTTTTTAATGTTGCTGGTTATATTTTTCTTGCTTATTTGTTGTGATTAGGTCCCACTTACAGGTGAGATAAAAAAATATGGAACGCCTCATGAATTTGTGTATCATTTTTGCACAGAGGCCGTTCTAATCTTCTCTGTATCATTCCAGTTTTCTCTGTATCATTCCAATTTTAGTATATGTGGTGCCAAAGCAAGCACTGATTAATTAAAAATTTTTAAAAATTTTTGCACTTGACATTCATAAATTATTTCCTTGGCGATTATGGAGAAAATTCTAACAGTCTCCACAAGTCTTTGGAGGCCAAAATACTCAATTGTCAAAAGATTGCCTTTCTTTTCAGAGACTACAGTATTTATGGGCATATTATTTAGAAGTACTTAAGAGAGAAAGAGCCAGCTTAAGCCTTAATGAGAACCATTTACTTTGCTTTAGGTCGTTTTAAGGTTTGTGAAGAGCCTGGACAATGACTCTGACATTCCTGTGCTATCCTTACTTTTTGGGCTCTTCACCTGCATTTCCTTTAGAAAGAAGTCATTGTTAGTCTAGAATACTGAAGAGTAGCATTATTGTTTTCTGAAGTGGGGGAGGGGAAAGGTAAGAGTGGAGAGAAGTAAAAAGAAAATAGTTTATGTAGTGTAGACTGAAATATAATTCTCCTCCCACCTCTAAAACCTGGGGCTGGTGTTGGGAGAGATAATGGGGTGGACAGTGGGGCATTTATGTCCCTTGTAGGCATACACTATCACTCTGGTCATCAAGACAGTGCTCCCTGCTAGGTATTCTGTGCTTTCCAAAGATGGAGCTACAACTTACTACTATAATATAATCAAGTTAGGTCAAGAAAGAGAAATGGTAGGTAAGACTTACTACTACAAAATTACTTTAAATACTGAAGACTGGGTTTAAAGGTTAACCATTGGCATAGTATTCTAACTACATTAATAATAAATTGTTCATAATGGCATCTTCAAGCTTTAATTTAAAAATGTATACTAATTTATTTTGAATAGGATTTAAGATAGCAAATATATGTAAATTAAGCCCAAAATAAAATTTTAAACAAATTTCAAGTTAAATACTTAAGAATTCATTTTTATACAACCCTAAGTAAATTCATCTCCCCATTTATAATATCCTCCCCATTCATTGACTGCCTTATAGTAATCACAGTGTGTAGTATATTAGTAATTGTAAAAGAAAGGATGACCTAAAAGAACTGAAAATAGAGTTTGATAAGATGTTAACAGATTAACTGCTTGGGTAGGATTATGGGTGGTTTTTAAATATTTTTTTCTGTAATGTGCTTTTATTACTTTAGTTATTTTTATTCTTAGGTGTCTCACTGTCATTGCTTTTGTAATTGAAAATAATTTTTTGGAAAGAAAAGCTACAGCAATGATACAATATGTAGGGAATATATATAAAAGCCAATATATAATGGTACCTAATTTATACGGTAAAGCTTTAACCACCAAATTAAAGTCAAATTATGCTACCTTTGGTCAGTCTCACGCGCACGCACACACACTCTCGGGTGGAATTGATGGTAGTTTGCATAAATTTGGCTTTAGTAGATGAAGACAACTCTCAGTTGATTCACTTCAGCCCACTTAATGCTTTACTTTGAATGCAGATTATATTGGGTTGGCAAATTATGAACTGGATTTGGCTGGCATTTGTTGATTAAATCATTTTATTGGAACACAGTTATGCCCATTTGTTTACATACTGTTTATGACTGCTCTTCTGCAAAAAAGGCAGAATTGAGTATTTGCAGTATGAACCATATGATGCTCAGTATTTAAATATTTAGCTTTGGCCCTTTACAGAAAAAGTTTGTGAGCCACTGAAATATACTATTTGTTGCTTTTATGTTTTCTATCTTGTGTCCTGCACTATTCTTTTAAAATATTAAACTTTTATCATTGTGAAGCCACTGTTGTAGATGCTTAGAAATCACTCAATAAATGGTCTGTGAAAGTAATATGCAGTAATTTTAAAAGTAATAAAGCAGAGCTTTGTGATTGGAAGTTGTACAGAGGTGAAAAATAAAAGAAAGATAAAAGATAAGGGAAAAGCTCTAGGGAACACAATACTCCAGGAGGAAAGAGAAAAGGCTTGTAGGAAATTATGACTAGATTGAACATGTTGAAATATTTTGACAATACAGTTTTAAAATTCTGAAAGCAGATGTTCTTGTTTCACTAGTGACTTTTTAAAATTCTGATGTTCTTTCAAATAAAACTGGTATATAATTTTTCTTTTCATTTGGTTGTTTAAAACCTTAATTCCAACTTTAATTAAATATTTACTGTCTAACTTTAATTTCAAATATTTTTATAAGGGACCTTTAACTTAGTAGATGCCAGTAACCATATGTCCAGTGTCTGAAATTTCAATATTTCGGTATCTAAACTACATGTTACCAGATTGCCTCTTGAACCCAAGAATCACCCCCCCCACCCCTCGCCCAGCTATTCTAGTTTTTGGCTTGGAAAAGAAAGTATTTTTAGTAAATTAATTAATATAAAAAAATTTGTTTTCATTAGTTACGTGAAATATATTGAACTTTATAGAGCATTTGTTTAGTCAGTTTTGTTACACTTTATGTAGAAAATCAATGTATGTCAGAAAACATGAATAATTATGGAAGTTTTCTCTTTGGATTAGGCTCGCATGTCTTGGGATAGGGAGTCCGTAGACATTCGGTACCGTAGACTTCAACATTTGCTTGAAAAAAGCAATATCTACTCTAAATTTTTATTGACAAAAATGGAACAGCAACAATTAGAGGTATGTATATGTGATTGATTACAGCTAATAGCTTACATTTTTTTAAAACCAGCTTTATTGAGATAGAAATTGCATACAATAAAACACATTTTAAGTTTATAGTATAATGATTTTAACCAATGTATAGATTTATGTGACCATCAGCACAATCAAGATGAACATTTTTATTTTTATATCATTTCCAAAAGTTACCTTGTCTAGTAATCCTCATGCCTCAATGGGCAACTGTTGATTCTGTTTTGTCACTATAGATTAATGTTCCTTTTTCTAGAATATCATATAAATGGGATCATGGTAAATAATACCCTTTGCATCTTGTTTCTTCAGTTTAGTGTGTTTTTAAGATTGACTTACGTTGTGTTTACTCAGTAAGTCATTCTTTTTATTCCTGAGAAGCATTCCATTGTATGAACATAAGTTATTTGAGAAGGGTTTTTTATTTTGCTTTTCTGTTTGTGAAACTAAGGAAACTTATATTACAGGAACAGAAGAAGAAAGAGAAATTAGAGAGAAGAAAAGAATCTTCCAAAGTTACTACGGTAATATATATAGTAAGCTAGAATATGTTGTATTTGTTACCTTAAATATTGAAGAAATTCTTTTGTGTTCTTTTATTGATCATATACTTACTTTTAACCTTTATCTGATAGTCTGTTACAAACTGTATAGGAGCATGTAAAACTGTTTCTCAGTACTTTAGATAGGGAAGGAAGGCTCTAAAAAGTATGACCCTTTCATTTTATTCTGTGAACCATATTTCAGATATGCAAGATTTTACTTATCTGGGGGAAATCTGCAATGTTTTATATGGCAAGGCATTTTATAAATGGCCAGTACTTTTGGAGCCTGTAATGATGATTTTTTTCTCCTTTGTGCCTTCAGCTTTGTCACATCAACTTGTAGCCATAAGAGTGATCTAGATTTTGTAACTTGTACAGAACCGCAACAGTGGAGCAAAATCAGAGCAGATAGTCATCTTTTTAGATGATAGAGCACTCATTTAAAATAGTCCAAATTTTAGATGTGATCTCTTTGAAGAGTATGTTTTAACATGAGGCTGTTTAATACTATAATGATGGGAAATATATAAAGAAGAGTTATGCTAGTGAAATGAAGAATAACAAAGGCAACATTTATTGAGCATTTTTTATTTATCAACAGTTACTGAGTTGGGTATTCTAAGCCTCAAATGTTTTTTCTTAATTCTTAAGACAGCTTTTAGGTAGAGATACTATCAATGTCCCCATTCTATGTTTAAAGAAGCTGATACAAGGAGATAAAGTATAGTCCATCCTCATTTGCAGGATTCTGTATTTGAAAATTAGCATCCTGTCTAAAATTTATTTGTAACCCCCAAATCACTATTAGTGTTTTAATGGACATTCACAGTTGCTTGTGCAGAACTTCCAAAATTTGAGTCTCCTAACCACACACATTCTCAGCTGAAGTTGATGGAAATGTGATGGCCTTATTTAAGCAGTCACACTATAAACAGGTGTCCTTTTGTGGTCTATTTAATTCTGTGGTTTTTGTTAATTTTACTGTTTAAAATGACCCTTAGCCATATTGTACTGAAGTGTTTTCTCGTATTTCTAATGCAAGAAGACTCTGTTTCTGTTGTGTCTAATGGAGAAAGTATGTGTGTTAGAAAAGCTTCCTTTAGGAGTTAGAGTACTATTGGTCTTGAGTTCAATGTTAGTCAGTTTAAATGTTAAAGAATATAAAATGGCAACACATGTAAGACAGAGTTAAGTATTTCTTTTTTTTTAATTTTTAAAAATATGTCTATTGATTTAGTAAGAGAGAAAGAGAGAGACATTGATCGGGTGCTTCCTGTAGACTAGGTGTGTACCTTGACCAGGAATCAAACTCCCAACCTTTTTGGTGTATGGGACTACGCCCCAACCAACTGAGCCACACTGGTGAGGGCAACAGGGTTAATTTAAGTATTTCATCAGCTGGTGAACAGATGACCAGAGCCTGGCAGGAACCTAAACTTGTATTTTTTGTAGAGGTAGTGATTTCTTGTCAACCAATTCATCATTCTCAGTGACTTTATAGAATATAACTTCTAAGTGACAATTGATTGTAATTCACTGAAGGTTACAAATGTAACAAGTAATAATGCCAGGATTAGTTTCAGACTCAGCACTTACTTAGCTCCTGTACTAAACTGCTTTTATTAGGAAACAACAAAATGCCAGGAAAACAGGTTGTGTATCTATAAGTCTGGTTTTTTGATTCTTAGTGTGGTTAGTGGTGGTGTTAATGTACATAGTTGATAATGTTGCAAAAAAAAAAAAGTAGTTTTTAAAAACTGATACAATTTGACTCAGTTGATTTCCAGGACTTACTTTGGTTTACTTATAATTTTACTGGCTTGA